ACATACAAACATACATACAGACAGACAGACAGACAGACAGACAGGCAGACAGACAGACAAACAGACAGACAGACACACATATAAATACACACATACATACATCAGTACATGCATACATACATACATACATACATACATACATACATACATACATGTATGCATACACACATGCACATGCACATACACACACGCATAGACATACACATACATACACATGCAGATACACACACGCATGTACATGTACGTGTACATATACATATACATAAACATGTACACACACACATTTACATCTACATAAAACAGCTGTATCTGTATCTATATTTCTATGTGCAATCCTGTTCTCGCTTATGAGCCAACCAGCTCAATTCACTTCTTGGCGTCCGTTAGGCGTAGGACGGCAGACCGGAGGACCTATCGTGTGCAATTCGTTTGTTTTCCAAGAAATTGCAGGGCATGTTTTGTCACATGTATGCAGCCTCGTATCATCCCACAACCCTAAACCGCACCCAGACCTCCAAACGAATCCCAGCCAGACATCATGAAGTTGGTGTCTTGACGTGTTTGCGGCATCCTGAAACGGACACCAAAGCCCGGACACAGAGTTTTCAAACTAAGCAAGAATCTGAGAACGCCAATCAATCAAAGTACATCCGGCTCCATGTCCATGTCGGCAGGTTCACCTCAAGAGTCATGTCTAGGTCTAGTATGTTGCAGGTTCCACCCGAGGGTTGAAAAAGCCCTACTCATGAGTTGTGGGTTGTCGGGAGCGCAGCAGCACAGTGGCCAAAACCCGCCCATCATTCGTTTGGGATTAAAGAGGATCTATCGGGTTGAAAGTCTCGGGACACTGCAGAGTGCTTGGAGGAAAAAGCACAGAAAGCACAACACGACTCTTTTGCATCAACCCTATATCAATCCTTGCATCTTGCAAAAGCTCTGCAAGCCCCTGTAGAAGCCGATATACACCCCGTAACATTCTGTAACATCCCGATAACACCCCATCAACTGGCGGCCTGATTCACTCTGACACGACTTGCAGCCAATCTCCTTGAGGCTCTTCGTTCGCAGTCCGTGGATGCTGTGAAGTTTCAATAATGACGAAAAGGTGCCGGAGTGCATTACCGCATAACTGTACAAGAATATGGGAAAGCTGCTACTTATTCAGGACTCTGTGTTGATTCTGAATTCCGAACCTGCCTGTTCTTTTGGATTTCTATCTAACTACTTGAACTTAGCCCCTCGGATAGCTCAACCCATCTCCAAACGGTGCTCGGACACTGGTAGCGATAAAAGGTGTGGGTTTCGGATTCAAGTTATTATAAGGGTTTAGGCTGCAGCATTGAAGATTTGTCGAGATGAAGCAGAAAAGGACAACACAGCGTGAGGGGTGCCATGTCTACGGCAAGCAAGCAGCCTTATGGTAACAAACCCATAGCAGCCATAGCAAAACTCAACGAATGCTGCATGCTCAAGTATCTCACATATCCACGTTCTACACCAGAAACATGAAACTCTCAACCCATACGACCCCGAACGATATTAACGCGATCCCTTCCCCAAAAAACTTGGAAACTGCTTTCGGGCTGGGAAGCCCGCCGTGTTTTGCATCTTCATCATTCTTCCGTCGTCTTCAGCACGCAGCCCCAGCAACCACGAAGCCCCCAACCAAAAAAAAAAAAAGGTCTAGCCTAGCGTTTAGGGTTCAGGGTTCCAACTCGATCAGCCCCTAAAGTGGTCTGAGTGGCTTTCCGCACTTGGGACGGCGCCGAGGGTGCCGCGCCGGCGAGGCGGATGCGGGTGCTGTAGCTGTAGCGGCCCAATTTGGGCTGAACTCAGCTCACGGGGCCCGAAAAGTTCGGGAACCGCGGGCTCTGAAATCCTAACTACTTAATACGGTTTAAGCTTTAGGGCTCTGCGTCAAAGGTTCATTGGGATCCGAAACTAAGCCATTGACTGGGAACACGGACGCCTTAATTGGCTTCGGCCGTTGACTGAGGTCCCTCCAACATCCCTGGCCAGGGCGCCCAATGAAGCCCCAGACCGGACATTTCAAGGACCTCAAATTCACACAGCCCTCAAGCCTGCAGACAAAGTGCCAGGTTGAAACCGCATGGCCACGTAGGGGGACCGCATCATTCCGAGTCCATAGGTGGTGCCGAAACCGACTCGCGGCGCCCTGGTTTCCGAAAGAGCAGTCCAAGGTTGAGAGCCTAAACTACAAATTTGTTCACTCGCAACAACTCATCTAGGGGCCTTAATAACTAGAATAGGGTTTGCGGTATATATTAGAATATAGTGATAATAAGGAACCCCCAAAATAGTATAGTATAGGTAATTATTAAGGCCCCTATATTACGTACCCGGCATTGCCCACGTCCTAGACCGACCCTCTCACCCTGCAGCCCCTAAACCCTAAACCCTAAACCCGTGCCTGACAGGCTTTATGAACTTCGTCGACCATCGGGCAAGCGCCTGCATCGGGCACAATGGTGCTCGCAACATTTCCCTAAAGGGTCCGTGTGCCGTACATATGCATATACATATACGTATGCATACATACACACATACATACATACATACATACATACATACATACATACATACACACATACACACATACACACATACACACATACACATACACATACACGTACATGTACACGTACACGTACACGTACACGTACACATAAACATACACATACACATACATACCGACATACATAAATGCATGCATGCATGCATGCATGCATACAAACAAACATACATTACATAAATTACATACAGACAGACATACCTACATATACACACACAGACATGAATACATACACATACACATACATATACACATACACATACACATGCACATGCACATACACATATACATACACATACACATACACATACACATACACATACATGCATACACACACATATACATATACAGAAATATATATGTATATACATACATACATGAACACATACATAAATACAAACATGCATACATACATACATACATACATTACATACGCTACATACGGACAGACATACATACATGCCCGCACACAGACATAAATACATACATACATACATACATACATACATACATACATACACGCACACATACAAATACACATACACATACACATACACATGCACATGCACATGCACATACACATACATATACTCATACATACATACATACATACATACATACATACATACATACATACACATACATACACATACATACACGAATAACATACGCATACGCATACACATACGCATACACGTGCACAT